CAAATTTGTCATTTTAACCAATTCTCTAAATTTACGAGACGCTGTATACAGACCTTATCAACTTAATTACAACAAAATGTAATATAAATGATGTGAATGTAGCGTGATAGAAGAATGTGTGATATGTATGAATGAGTAACTAAACAGTTTCTGGTCCCCTTTGACTTCCATATTATGGATAAACATAATATGTAAGTCAATGGCTACCGGCAACTTGTTTGGTTACCAACATTCTTCAAAATATCTTCTTTTGTGCTCAACAGAAGAAAGACATTGGTACAGGTTTGAAACTTGAGGGTGAGTAAGTGACGGAATTTTAACTTTTTGGGTAAACTAATATTTTTGTTAAGTTAAATATTTAAATGTGAATAAAATAAGTTGATTATTTACATATAATCAATCATATTGCAGCGAGCGCGTCGCTGTGTTGCTATGGCTACTAGAGTTCTCGCGTCGCAAATAAGTGCGTCGGTGACGCGTCAGTTCGTGTCTATGGTGTGAACGCATTTAGCAGCGCTGCTAGTGTGTGTAGCAGCACAACCCGGCACCATGAGCCTCAATAAACACCAACTGAGTGACTCTTTATTCATCTGGGTAAGATATAAACCCGTTCTGTTCACTTAAGCTGATATTTAAAGAGTGTCCGTCTGTATTGACTGAGAATGAAGTAACGTTAGTTGTTTGTTTGTGTTTAGCGCGCTAGCCTGTTAGCAGCAGGTGCAATCTCACATTTCACCGAGTTTATGACTCTTAAAGAATGAATCGCCGTTTTCTGTTTATTATTCGCTCGTATATCATTCAGGCGATTTTATTAGTGCTTTATACAGCTCTGCGTGTGTGTGTTTGGTGTGTTAAACTCAGTATGTAACTGACCAAAGGTCCTGAAATGAGTTTAGACGGATTATAAGAGTTCAAAACAACTTAACCTCCGGTGAAATCAATATATCCTCCTCAAATAAAATAACAAAAATGTCCCTCACAGTTGAGGAACAAACCATGACTTTATTTACCTCAGTAAACTTATTGTTTTTGATCTCACTTTTGAGACATACTGCTGTAAGTTACATGTACCAAAATAATAAATTACAGTCTTTTAGTATGTTTTTCTGTAACAATTACGCAGATATTACTGGTAATATATCAAAGTAGGTATGAACGTTTGTTTTTATTTGTTAAATTTGTTTAATAAATATTTGTAAAGGTTTATTTGAAAAATATTTATTTTGAGTTGTATTTATATTTATTAGAAAAAAATCTGTTCACTATAGTACACATGCATTTTTATGTTTACTTTTACTTTAATCTATTTTATTATTTAATTGTTTTATTGTAATTAATAAATTTTAATATATTTGTCTTTAAAGGGGTCATATGATGCTTTTTTAAAGATCATTATTTTGTGTATTTGGTGTAACAGAATATGTTGACATGCTCGTATGACCCCTTTAACTTATTTTAATCTTGGTTTTATTTATGTATTTTTCTAAAAGATGTCTTAGACCCTGAACAACACAAGTTTTAAACGGATCCTGTTTTTGTATACACTTCTCATGTCTGTATTTGTCTAATTTTCTGTCTCTTTCTGTGTTTCAGCTGCAGACGTTTCAGGTGCCGTCGTGTGTGAGCAAACATGAGCTGACCAGCGGCGTGGCCATCGCACATGTGCTCAATAAAATGTGAGTGTAACGTGTGGGTGTGACTTTCTGCAAATGTTTATGAAGGAACGTCAACTATTCACGTGAAAGCTGATCTGACAGATGCGCTGGATGTCTGAAACACCGTTAAACCGCCGCCACACATTCATGTCAAATATGACAGCTGATTGTGAATACTTCTCATTCACTGGCCCTCAAGACCACTCACAGACCTTTTCCTTCATGATGCATGATAAATTGTGTTGGCTCTGTGTTTTAAGAGCATTTCTGTTCTGTTTCTGTCAGAGATTCGTCCTGGTTTAATGAGACGTGGCTCAGCAGGATAAAAGAGGATGGCGGCACAAACTGGAGGCTGAAGGTACTTTAGTTTTATTAGATTTCTCTCTAGTAAAGATGTTTTCTGTACAGTATACAGGATGTTCATGGGTCTGAGTAAACACACATGTGCTCTGACAGGTCAGCAACCTCAAGAAGATCCTTCAGAGCATGATGGAGTATTATCATGATGTAAGTTATGTTTTGTGTGATTGAAGTCTATCAAAAGCTGCTTTCCTTTGTACCTTTGAACCAGAGGTTCACATAAAGGGGATATGTATATGTGTGAGTGTGTGTGTGTAATACTTGAATAACAAGTAAAGGATAAAATATGTACTTTTATACAATGAATATATTATAAAATATACTTCCATTATATATTTAGATATTATTATATTGTTTCTCATTTTTGGGAATTTAAATTTAAATACTACAATAACTAATTAACTATGTAAATAAACTACATAAAAAAAACATGAATGAAATAATGCCAAAGCAACATTTCTCACATTTGTGTTTCCACTTTGAATATTACAATAACTAACACTACATAAACAAATAAATAAACGGCATTTTAAAAAAACGACATCAATAAATAAAACAAATAAATCCTATATAGACATTAAAAAAACTAATAGGAATTACTAACAGAAAATGCACAACAGATTTACTTAATTAAAATGAAAGTGAAAAGGGAAAATATAAAAATGAAATAGAGTTCAAAATATTAGAACTGTAGTAGTACATCAGTGATACTAAAATAACAGAAACGACGTAAAAAATCAACAACTTCAAAAAAGCATAAATAAATACTATATAGATACCTTTTACAAATATTAATGACAAACACATTTAATTAAAATTTTTACATATTAAAACACTGAAATTGAATTGAGAAAATAAAATTTAAAATCTAATCCAAAATATTAAAATCTTTAGTAGTATATCAGTGATACTACAATAACACAGACTCATTGTACTAGGGCTGCACGATTAATCGAATGCGATTGTCATGTGCATTTTGTTAAAAAAGCCGGTTCTCTCGTCATCACGTGCTTTCAGATGGAGCAGAATTTACTACACAGAGCCGTAGTTCACTGACAAGTTACGCAAAAAAACGCAGACGATTTTATTGCGCTATTATGAAATCGAAGAAACCATTCGCGATAATGACAGCTGTTTGCATAGCTTCTCAGTGAACTACGGCTCTGTGAAGTAAATGCTGCTCCATCTGAAAGCATGTGAAAATACCACATTTAATAACATATTTTTACTCCAAACTCACTTCATAACGTCAGTCGAGTGTTTGAAATAAATCCTTCTGTGAGATGATGTGGCTTCTTACACAGAATAAGGCACGCAACATATTTCATAGTATTTAAGCAGTGATAAAGGCATTGCATTATAAATATACTTTATTTTAATGAAAATTATAATAATAAGAACTCAGATAAACCGTATATTGCCGTAGTCGTGTGTTTATTAGTCACGTTGAATCAATGAAAGCAGTTGAATCTTCTGTGTATTCAGCTGCAGCGATAGGCATTTTCTGGGTTTCTTCTGCGAGGCGTATTTGGAGTTTCAGCGCGAGAGCGCCCTCTGGCCTTTGGATGGAGATTTACTACTGATCACAGAACCGTGCTTCACTGAAAGATACGCATGACAATCGCAGCTTCTGTCGAATCGCGATCTCGATTCCATTTCGATTTATTGTGCAGCCCTACATTGTACACATATTTATGAATGCTTTCACACGTATGTATATTTGTGTGTGTATGTATACATTTGTGTCCGTACAATGGGTCTGTTATATTTTAACTCTTTACAACATGATCTCTGTTGAAATTTTTAGTTATGTTTTATTGAGGCTGTTATTAGCTAGTAACGTATTGTGTGTGTCAGGTGTTGGGTCAGCAGGTGTCTGACGAGCACGTTCCTGACGTGTGTCTGATCGGTGAGATGGGGGACGTGACTGAACTGGGTCGTCTGCTTCAGCTGGTTCTGGGCTGTGCCGTCAGCTGCGATCAGAAACAAGGTACACAAGAGATTACAAGCCCTGGGTCACATGATCAGTCATGTGACCACAGTGTTACGGTCTGATGGACAGACTAGAAAAGAGAACAAAAACTGAGCTGAGATTAGAGCGACCCCCGCTGACAGCATGAATGGAGGCTCAGAGACACGAGCACCATGAGAGAAATCACTAGAGGGGAGTGATTGGAAAAACCAGCTGTTATCAATCTGACAGTACAGGTGTTAATGGGCTCCGGAACATTTTGAAATCAGATGACGTTTAGAAGTAATCAGAAACACATGTGAAGCCGTAGTAAAACTCATATTTACAAACAGATACTCAACATCTCCTGCTTTCATGCATGTTAAAGTCTTCAGGGTTTTGCATAATATTATATGAAATTATTCATTTCAGTAGTATATTCAGTCTATTACTAGGGATGCGCCGATCCGATATTCATATCGGGTATCGGCTCCGATAGTGCCATTTTTCTCGGATCGGGTATCGGTCCGAGATTTTATTTTAATTTTTTTCCGATTGTGCGAATTATTCTGTGTTACTTCTGAAGCCATATGATAGCTTGACCCTTTAACGCGTACGATCACACCAGTGTGATCAGAACTTTCAGTGCGTCACGTCATCAACTGCTGAATTTAAATCCGCTTTGGCTGGCGCGGAGCCAGATTGGACGCGCTGAGCGCTTGTCATATTATCACAAATATTCAGCGTTTTCAACCATATAATACTTATTTTAGGTTTCATACATTTAAATACACATAAGTACTAGCAAAACCATACATTTACAGTTTGTAAAATACACGCTGATGTCTATGGAAACGGCAATAATCATCCTTAAAAATATAATCTGACGACATGTTTTTATTGATATCATATACAGATAACATATGTGGATAACTATAAAGTTTACTCTGCTCTTCTCTCAGTTTACCGGAGACCTACTTTAACATGTTTCGATAGGAGAGGATGAATTTGCGTGTTGTAAATCCTACAGCTCAGATGCAGCGCGAACTAACATGGTGGCGCCCATCACCCGGTATAGATCAACTAACACGGTCGATATAAAAGTGTTTAAACTACCAAATAGATTTACTTGCACATAATATTTATTTTAATAAGCCTTAATATTTAATTAATTTCCTGGTTCACTGTAAAATAATGACTTCATTAGGTGTATGTTTTTCAAAATGGCTTGAGAATAATTTATCTGTAAAATAGCGATGATTTTTTTTTTTTTTTTTTTTTTTTTTTTTTTTTTTTTTTTT